AAACAGTGAGAAGTATCATTTCAGCCAGTGGGTTTCTCTGTGTGTTGCTTGCCAGCTGGGCATGCCCTCTGCTTATTGTTCATGGGAACATGCTCAAGGAATTCTGCAGAAAGGCCTCCATCCAGGATGTTTGTTACTGGAAGACCTGCTTGGCAGAGTTTGTGCAAACAAAGTATGATCCTGCTAGCTCAGCCAAAACCCCTGCATCGTTCTGGGAGGGCTCTGTGACCCTCACAGAAAAGGCTGCTGTCTTCATCATCCAGCCAAGAAGCCGCTGCAGGGTAGGTCGCCAGCTTCCTTCTTTCTGCTTAGATATAGTGTGCACATCGCTACCTATACAACATACAAGCCTACCTATACAAATACCTCCTGAGCCTCTTTTGTGGTACTTCACATTGTTTGTAGAAGTATCTTCTAGTATTCCTCCCCTTTAAAAAATTATGAGCCAGCCAGTGGTGTTGTACACCTTTAATCCCGGAGGAGCAGAGCCAGGTGGATCTCTGAGTTCAAGGCCAGCCTGGTCTACAGAGTGAGTTCCAGGAAAGTCATGGCTGCACAGAATCCCTGTCTCAAGAAAACAAAATAAAAAGAACAACCCAAAAATGGTGATAAAATACCTATTAAAATTTATATTATTTGTCAATGCTTTTCACCTTGTAAGGCTAAAACTGTATACATACATACATACATACATACATACATACATACATATCTCAAAGAGTTGTATGCACACACGGTCCCTGGGAACCATTCTGCTCTCTGCCCCTCTGACTACTCTAGGAATGCTAATAGATGGGAGTCATGCCTCTGACTTCTCTGGAAACCTTCTATAGATGGAGTTACGCAGTGTATGTCCTTTAGTGTTGGGCATGTGTACATGTGTCAGAATCACATCCCTCTTGAAGGCTGGGTACCATCCCATTCCGTGCAGGACTCAGTGTGACACTGGATCTTGTGTGCTTGTGCACCTGTCAGGCCTGCCAGCCTCCTCACTTTGGATGTCCTTACCTCCTGCTCTCTCCACTCTCGGCACACTGCCTTTCTTCAGTCTCTGGGACGAGACCAGGCATGTGCCTTCTGTAGTGTGTGTCAGCCAGCACAGGGTCTGCCACAGAGCAGGAGGGCTCATCCATTGCTTGAGAAGCAAACAGGTACAATTTAGAGTGGACTGAACACAAACGTGAGTGCACCCCCAGAGCCCCGTGAATGTGAGCTGCAGATGATCAGATGTATTAATCACTGGACTGGAAAGGGATTAGGACATTTCCATAATATCATGTGGTGTGTTTCTTTTTCTAAAACAGATGTGCTCTTGTTGCTTCATGAGGAAGCAATTAAATGTGTTTGATTAAGACATCCATAAACACCATCATGTATTTGAGGCTACTATCTGCTGCTGTCTCTGTTGGTACTTTCTCTGTGTTGTTTGTGCTTCTCTTCCTCATGGACGCCTGTCTTGTGGGTGGCGCAGCTGCCCTGGGTGCCTGCTCTGATACCTGCTGCACAGGGCAAGCTCAGCCTCTACCAGTGCGCCTGCCCTCGCTCCAATGTTGCCGGCTCTTCTCCTCTCCCCGTTCTTAACTGCTCCCTCCCTTCCCCCAGGATTTTGACAGTTGGACGTCTATTTGAACCCTAAAACATGTTTTCTGACAGTGTTAGTGATAGTCATACACTGTTACATTTAGACACTGATATTAGTTGGTGGTAAGAACATTTATGTAAAATAGTACATTGTATTAGTGTTTGTAATGATTTCGTTTTTATAGAGCCTTTTATTCTTCAGGCTTTTTGAGTCTCAATTTATGTTTTTTAAAATGTGTGGATTTTTTTTCTTCTATTTGAAATATAAACAAAGCAGTGAAAAGTTAGTTACTTTCTTTATTAAAGGTTTCTCAACAGTGGGGTACCTATTACAGATTATGTGTGAAACCCAAGATTGAAATACTTCAAGAAGATCTTTTTGGAGACATTTAAGAGGTTTCTTCCAGCCTTAGCTTCATTTCTTTTCTGCCCCTCCTAGTGTTTCAACAGGATTAGGTTTTTTTGAATCAGTGGATCAAGTTTTAATTTTCCTGTTCCTTCCTTATACTGACATATGCTTTGGCAAAACTAAAAAGAGACCTAAACATGTCAGCATGATTTTTGTTCAGTGAATTAAAAACCATAACAGTAATAAGATCAGATCCAAATCCCTAAACTCCCGACATGGTGGTTTTGTCCTTTTCAGTCCCAAACTTCTTATTACGACTTTGAAAGCTTTCTGCCTGGAAGCAAAAGTTTATGATTTATTTGAAATAGATTACAAGGATAAAAGCCAGAAAGATTCAGGTTTGAATCCTAGTTCTGTCACTCAAGCCCATGAGCCAGTCACTTAACATCTCTGAGACTCAGTTTCTTCTTTAGGAAAAATGGGACTCTTAGTTTGAGGAGAGGTTGGAGGGGATAAGTGAGGTCACATAACTCAGCTGTCTGCTTTGTCTTCAGAGCTTTTCTTTACTTAAAGTTCTTTTTGTCATGGAAGAAAACAATATGGAGATGCCATGAAATATTTAATGATACACACTGAGCGTGTACCCAGAACCTGGAAGGGTCCTGCCGCTGAGTAACCATTGCTGCACCTAGAACTTGGGACTGTGCTTCCTCAGCTCACTCAGGGTTGTTGCTCTGAGGGGCAGGAAGCATTGTCAGTGATAGCCACTCAGGGCAGATGATTGTGTTATAATATCCATCAATAGCTTTTGAGACAGCCCATTCTGGGTTTGATTTCAATTAATATACTAAATTTGGGCTGGGCCTGGCAGTGCATGCCTGTAATGGGGAGATTGTGGATGACATAGTGAGACTCTGTCTCAAAAAAACCCAAATAGCAACAAAGATACCACATTTGGCTGGACCTAATTTTCTTCACCTATAAAAATGGGGTTTGTGCTGGTTAGTGTTATGTCAACTTGACACAAGCTAGAATCATCAGAGAGGAGAGAGCCTCAACTGAAAAAAAAAATACCTCCATAAAATCAAGCTGTAGGCAAGCCTGAGACATTTCCTTAACTAGTGATTGATAGGGAAGGGCCCAGCCCATTGTGGGAGCCATCCCTGGACTTGTGGTCCTGGGTTCCATAAGACGGCAAACTGAACAAGCCAGTAAGCAGCACCCCTCCAAAGTGTCTTCATCAGCTCCTGCCTCCAGTTTCCTGCCCTGCTTGAGTTCCTGGCCTGACTTCCTTCAGTGAACAGTGATGATGAGTGTAGGCCAAATAAACCCTCTCCTCCCAAGTTGCTTTTGGTTGTGGTGTTTCAGCACAGCGGTGGTAACCTGACTAGGACAGGGTTCATGATAGAATAAGACCATCCATAATACAGCTTTCAAGCCTTCAGCTCTTGTTATCCCTTTTGTTGTTCTTTTCTGCTCTTTGTGGTTCTCAAATGAAACATGGTTTCCGTGTACCTCAAAGCTTTTTATACATGCCTTTTCTTGGAAGTCCTTCTTGCCCTGCCAGCACTAGAAACTTGAACTTATCTTCAGATCTAATGAAGTGTATTAGTTAGGATAGTGTGGATTCTGGTGCAGTAACAAGCAGTTCCCAATCACCATGGTTTATAACAGTCACCATTGACTGTAACAATAGACATGTATTTCCAACTGTGTGTTAGACACTATTCTTTATAGTCATCCTGTGCTGATGCACACTCTATCTCAACTTGGACTGTGTTCCAGGTCACAAACGTGTCCTGTGGGATCTTCTGCCTGAACTGATACCCAATACTTTTACACACATTTCCTTAGATCACGCAAGTTGTGTAATCTAATTTCAGGGTAGGAACATGTGAGCAAGAGACCCAGAGTAGTGGTGAGTGGCCCTAGTGACCCGCCACATTTGGATGTCACCTCTCAGGGACAGGTTTGCTGAGCTGAGCTGCTCCTCCCACTATGGCCCCTTTCTTTCCTCCTTCCGTCACTACAGCACTTCTCCCACCCTGGTGAAGGTCTTCTTGCCTCTCTTTAGCTAAGCTCTGTAGGAGCGGCATGAAGGCCTGTTGTCTTCATCCAGATCCATTACCTCAGCTCCTGGCACTCAATGTTCACAAAATGGAGAAAGGAAGGCAGGCTATTTGTGATGGGCTGCCTTTCTTAATGGCTTATGCTCATTGTCATGATGATGAAGATGCTGATAATAAGAACTGACATTTATCTGGGTGGTGCACACCATAATCCCAGCACTCAGCAGGCAGAGGCAGGCAGATCTCTGAGTTCCAGACCAGTCTGGTCTACAGAGTGAGTTCCCGGACAGCCAGGGCCACACGTGAACACATGCATGAGTGAAACAAAAGCAGACTGAAGGCATCTGCCAAGCCCCGATAAGATGCTGGATCCTTTGAGAAGAGCTTTCTGAGTCAGCTGGTGCCGCAGCTATGTGCTACACGGGACTCATGTTATGTCTTGGTTTTGAGGCGATTCCTAAGTATTTTGGTATAGTAATCAGGATGGTGAAGGTTGGGTGATGGAGAGGTTCAGAAATAGCATTATTTCTGTAGTGTCCCTCATTTGCAGTGCTGTGGAATGGAAAGGAAAAACGTTTTAGAGGAAGGGAAAGCTAATTGTGGCTAATTGGTTCCTTTTATTGAACTTTTTAAAAGCATGTCAGGGTCATTGGTAAATGAGTCACATGGTCATCTTAGTCCCTTCTGCCATTGGATTTTTGGGGGACAGCTAGGAGTTTTGAGAGGACATGTCTGCATCTTGAGATTTGACACTGGGTTCACCTAGTCTGTCTGGTTCTGTAATGTCTCTTACTTACTTTTACCAGATAACTCTCCAGGAACTAAGCATGGCGCTGGCTTCTGTCCCGTGTGTGAAGGTCATCAGCTGACAGGTCAAGGTTACTGTAGACTATTGAGCTAGTGAACGGAGTGGTGATAAATTCTTAACTGGAGGTCGACGTCTTACTAGAAAGAATTGTTTTGTTCAACTTGTGTGTGTGTGTTTGTGTGTCTTTTTTCAGAGTAACCAGGGAACACAGAGAAATGCTGGTAAAACTGGCCAAACAGAACACCAACAAGGCCAAAGAAAATTTACGGAAGGTTCGAACCAATGCAATGAATAAGCTGAAGAAATCAAAGGACAAAACCTCAGAGGACACCATCAGGCTCATAGAGAAACAGGTACTGCTGCCAAAAGATGCAGTATTTATGTATCTGACCCAAGGAGTCAGATGTAGGAAGCAAGAACAGCAAAACGGAATGTCTCTAGTCATTTCATTCGCATGATCAACACTTCTTAGTGTAGCCTGTACTAGATCCTGGGAGGCTCCACAGGAGAGGAAAGGGGCTATTGGTCCTTGATTGTGTGCTAGGCTCTGTGCCAGACACTTTACTTCATTTTCCCTCATGGCTACGACACTGAGTTAGAGGCTGGAAGAATAGTCAAGTGCCTGGCGTTCACAAGGCCCTGGGTTCAGTCCCCATTGGTGAAACAGCAGAACTGTAAGAGGAGAGTGAGGAGAACTGGTTCAGGGAAGCTCGGGAACCTGTTCAAGCTCTTGCTGATATGGTAGAGATGGTATCCGGACCCGGGGCCGCTTGCCTTGCTGTCTCGCTTTCTGACTACAGAGGAGTGAGCAGCTGTGTTTTCTGTGCTGAGCGCTAGTGCTCCCGGAGTGAAACAGTGAAAGGCCGGGCCCGGGTAGACCATCATGTGCAAGGTATGGTGATGCAAAAGGACATTTTCCATCTGGGCCAGCAGGGCAACGAGTGGGAAAACAGAGTAGCCACATCAGGAAAGGTCTTGAATTGCAGGTGAGGGATTTGAACGTGAACATGTCCAGAGTGTTTCCTCGTTGGCTGTGCATCTGTGTCAGTAAGCAGTAGCCACAATAATGGCACATAACCAGCTACTGAAAATCAGATCGTTTCACTTCTTACTCTCCTTTCTGTGCGCCAGCTGGGGCCACATAGTTCTAGGTTGGGCTTGTGAGCTCAGCTTCAGACCACAGATTGGGCTCAAGTTTGCTTTATATATCTTACAATTTTCCAGAGTCAACAAGTGCCCAGAGCATCCTTTCTTGGCAATAGCAGATATCAGGACTATAAATCCAACCACGTAAACTCTTGCCACTTCCCATTGGCTAAGCTTGTTACATGGGCCACGCCAAGTAGCATGCTGCAGAGAAGTATATACTACTTCATAGAGATCTGAAGGGCGGATGTAAACTTTTGATGAATAGTACTATGCCCTTAGGGAAAGTGAAGGTGTTTAGAAATTAGGGAGATGACTCAGTTGATTACATGTTTGCTGTGCAAGAACAAGGACTTGAGTTAGATCCCTCCCACATGCAAAGGTGATATGTAGGTGCAGCATTGGGATTGGATGGGGTGGAGATAGGAGAAGCCCTGGGACTCACTAACCAGACATTCTAGCTAAAGGTGAGCTCCAGTTTTAGTGAGAGACCCTGACCCAAACCCGAGGTGGATAGTAATTGCTGAAAACCCATGGTCTTCACACTTGTGCCCACAGTCTAGGCAAGTCTGCTCCCAGACACTGAGTCAGTGGATCTGGAGTGTCCAGGAATCTTTTACTGCTTCCCAGGGAGTTTTCATACAGTAGCCTTCTGGAAAGATCTCATTTTTCAGACAATGAGATCAATGCATGCCTAGGAAAAGCAACTGTGGTGTCCAGGTAGAGAACATTGCAGGGGGCAAGATCGGAGAAAAGAAGGGAAATTTATCAGGATTTAGGAGATGAAATAAGTAACGTCATACAAGTTATTTGATAGACCTCAGAGCTGCTGCATTCACAATGAAAGCATCATCTTAGGAAAGCTGGAAAGAGTGTGGGGTAGGGTGAGGCATGAGAGAAGAAGCGAGTAGAGCAGGAGAGCTGGAGTGAATTGCTGCCTTCATTTTGACCCAGCAGTTAGCATTCTGGTTGTAGGTCAATCAGCAATCACCTGGGGAATTTTGGTTCCTGGGCATCGTTCCTGCATTTTTTTTTTTTTCGAGACAGGGTTTCCCTGTGGCTTTGGAGGCTGTCCTGGAACTCGCTCAGTAGACCAGGCTGGTCTCGAACTCACAGTGATCCGCCTGCCTCTGCCTCCCGAGTGCTGGGATTAAAGGCGTGCGCCACCAACGCCTGGCCCTGCATTTTCTGATTAAGTATATTTCCTAGAGACGGTATTCCTAAAAGGTTTTTACATTGTGTGTACATGTATGTTTATGTGGGAGATAATACAGGTGAGTGTAAGCACCTGCAAAATCCAGAAGAAGGTGTCAGATCCCCTGGAGCTGGAGTTACAGGTGACTAAAGCACCTGATGTGGGTGTTGGGAACTGAACTTGGGTCCTCTGGAAAAGCAGTAAGTGCTCTTAACTGCTGAGCTATCTCTCCAGCTTTGAAACATGCATTTTAAACTGTTTCTCTGATAATTCTGCAGAAGTATACTTTGAAAGAACCAGAAGCTTGCAGTGCAAAAGGAAAGCCATTCTGCAGCTGATGTTCTGTGACCTTGGAGAAATTACTTGACCCTTGTGGTCTGTTTCCCATAAAAAAAGGTTTGGTAATTTCTCCCTTGAAAGGACTCATGGGATGCTAGAAGATGCCATTAGGATGCCTAACATTTAAATCTCAGATCTCCCTTCTTGCTGTCTTTCTGTCCTCTTGTGTTTGCTCAGAGGGACAGCCATAGATCAGGCTATCCTTCTCAGAGCACTGATCAGAGCTCAGAGCCTGCTCCTCCTTGGTGTCCTAGGGGACTCCCTCTCTGCAGTGGACACTTAGTCCTTGTGTTGCTTCCTGGTAGTGGGCTGTGGACTTGCCAAGCTGTCAGACTACTCCCTCAGCAAGGTGGAGTCTGCCGTAGAGTGCAGAGCGCATGCTCCTTGAAGAGGAAGAATGTTCAGATACTGGGTGCTCTTTTCAAACCCACTTGACAAAGACCTTGGCAGGAGTCTTCCTCATGAACACTGGCTTCCCACCCTTTTCAGATTATACTTTCTTTCCAGTGCTTCCTACTCTTTATTATTCTTTTTAGGTGAAAAGTCTTGGTTTTTTGATACTAAGCTGATACCTGGTTAGTTAGTGTGAGACAGAATGAAGACAATCATTGACTTGATAGAGTGGAGACGCCCAACATCGATCTCAGTGTGCTCTGCAGGCTGTGCGCAGTGTCGTGGCCTCTCTGGTGTAAAAGTCTGGATGAAGAGATGTCATTTCTGTGTTATTTTTACCTCCTTGTTAGCATCGCTTACAGGGTGGCAGAGGTTTGCATGGAGCAGTGCTGTGCGCTCTGCAGCGTGTTCCTCTCTCTATTTGGAAGGCACCAAAGGAGTTTCTGCCCTTGGTTTTGTTTTTGCTTTGCTTTATATAATAAAGTTGTTGGCTGATTATTGCTTCAACGGTTTAAATTTTTCTTTGTTCCTAATTATCAAAGTAATGTCTGCTCATTATAAAGAATGTAAAATGTGAAGATCGCAGTGTGGAAGAGAATCATCCCATAAATGCAGAGGTCAACATTTTAAAATACTCCTTTTCTTTTTTTTTAGCACATAGTTTTAAACGATATTGAGTATGTGTAGTATATATAAACTTTTGAGTCCAGGCTTACTTTTTTATTTGTTAATAAAGACATTAACTGTTTATGTGTTTGAAAAGGTTTTGTAAATGACCTCTCATGATTGCTGAATAGTTCATCTATCTTTTAGAAGATCTGCTTATAAATATTTTTATTTAAAATACATATTTATAATTTTAAAAATTATATTAGTGAGGTTGCAGTGAATATGTTCTTTATAAATCTTTAAGTTTTCCTGGAGTGGAGCATAGCAGTGTAGATCACTGAATAGAGAAAAGCATTGATTTACTTGTGTTTTCTCCTCGGTGCTGGGGATTGAACTCAGAGCCCTGCATACACTCTGTAAGTGGTCTCCCATTTAGCTCTACCCCAGCCCAGAAATGCATTGTTCTTAATATATCATTTTAGGACCACCTCAAGTTTAGAGTGTATGCGTGTGTTTTTTCTCTCCTTTCAAACACACATGCATGATTTTCTTTCTGTATCTGAGTTGGGACTCAAACTCATGATTTTCCTGCCCCCGCCTTCTGAGTGCTGGCATTACAGATATGCACCACCCTACCAGCTTATTTCACCTTTTACTAGATTCTGACATTTAGACTGAGTTTTTGTTCTTATGAGACAGTACCTTGCTATGCAGCCCTTGTTGACCTGGTAAACTCCTTGTGTAGCCCAGGCTGCCCTCAGATTCATCGCAGTCCTTCTGTCTTAGACATGTGCCACCATACCTGGCTGAACTAAAAAATGTTAATGTGAGCTTACATGTCTTTTGTTTGTCTTCAGATCATCTTTTATGCTCTAAATAGTTTTTAAATGTATTTATTTTTTAAATAAACTTTATTATAAAAAAGTCACACTAAAATTAACCAGACTAAAGGTCTATGCATCCCACTGAATTTCTATGCATGTATAATAACCATTCTAGGGACTGGAGAGATGGCTCAGCACTTAAACGCACTGGCTGCTCTTCCAGCGGCCACATGGTGACTCTTGACCATCTGTAGCTCCAGTCCTAAGAGATCTGACACCCTCTTCTGGCCTCCCTGGGTACCAAGTACTTACATGGTACACAGGCAGACAGATAAAGCAACTGTGTGCTTGTTGTTTTTGTTAAGGCCCTCTGTACCTGTGGTGCTTCATGTAGGACTTTACATTTTTCCTGTTGAACTTATTTTATGCATTTATCAACCACCACAGCAAATTAAAACTAGAAAAACCATTAGCGTTATACCCTCTTTCGTAATTCATTGTTTGTCCTTGTTGGATCTTTATAACTTGCTAGAGGATAGTATGACAGATGCTGCAGCCATTTGCTTCTGATTTATAACTTGCGAACACATTTAAGAGAAAATTTCAACCTTAATCTACAGGGCTACGTAGAGCCGTAATGCTATTTATAATAATAGAAAGCGAAGCTGGACGTTAGTGGCACACACCTTTAATCCCAGCACTTGGGACGCAGAGGCAGGCGGATCTCTGTGAGTTCAAGACCAGCCTGGTCTATTGATGAGTTCCAGGACAGGCTCCAAAACAATACAGAGAAACCCTGTCTCGAAAAACAAAAACAAAAACAAACAAACAAAAAAAGAAAGCTAGG